TTAGCTTGGTGATGGGTATTAAAGAGGGCACATTCTGTGTAGAGCACTGGGTGTTATGCACAAACAATGAATCATGAAACAGTATATCAAAAACTAATGATGTAATGTATGGTGATTAACATAACAATAAAAATTTAAAAAATAATAAATAAAATAACAGTTACTAAAATTTTATACTCAGGGGTCTAAATGTATTTCCATTAATTATAAAATTATACTTATCCAAATTATTTAAAAGAAGTGCTTGAGCACGAGTCAAGAAAATCTCAGTGTTACCTAAGAAAATCATACTCCTTTCCCCCAAATGAATGGTCACTCAATGTATATAAACATTTCAAAAATCCCCCAGCCTGTGAAGATATTGAGACATCAGATAAACTCTATGAACTATTTTTAAAATTATGACAAGTACTTTTTAATCACCAAAATAATATCAATAAGAAGATCTTAATGTAATTAAAGAATATTCTGAAAGGAATTTAGAAAGCTTGGAGGGAAGATGTTGAAAAATTAGCTGTAATGAAATTTCCCTTCTATTATTGCCAAAAATGAGGACAATTAGCTTTGTGATAGCACTGAGATTCTCATGTTACTTCTGAGCTAGCTGGGAAAATGGGAATATAATTCACTATGAGCATGTGCTTTTGGATTATCAGGATGTTGCTACTGTTAAAAAATAGAAAGAGCTTTTTATTTTTTTTTTCCTGGAGACTTCCATTTAACTACAATCATGTTTCAAAGAAAGATCAACTGCTTATATGTGCAGTGGCCTGCCTCTAACCACCAGATGTTTCATTCTATAAAACTGGGATTTAAAGTTAAATGGATGCTCTAAAATTTGGGTTGTTGCCAGTATCTTAGCAATTCTAATTAGATAAGATAACTTTCCTGGAGGACACACCAGCAGGGATCCTTAATACTTCAGTATTTTCAGTGCTTTAGTTTATGAATGAATGTGTGTGTGTGTGCATGTATATATTTTATTGAAGGAAATAAGAAATTATATTAAATAAATCATATAACTATATTTCTGTAGTATATACTTTTTGAAGTTAAAGACAGCAGAACAATTAATATAAATAAGCTCTGCATTAAAAACCTGTTAACTGAATGTACCATAAGGGTTCACATATGAATTTAAGTTGTGTACTGTGGTAGTAAACTACTCCCAAATCTCAGTGGCTTATGACACTAAATGTTGATTTCTCACTCAGGCTACATGGCCATTGTAGGTCAGCTGTGGCTCTGTCCATGTTGTCTTCACTCTAGGAATGAAGTAATGGTGTAGCCTCCATGTATGGCTCATCTTTTGGTAGAAGGACAAGAGAGATATGGTGAACTGTGCACTGACATTAAATCTTCTGCTAGGTAGTGATGCATGTCACTTATATTTCATTAGCCAAAGCAAATCACAAGGCCACATGTGAGTTCAATAGATCAGGGAAGTATAATCCTCCTGTAAGGAAGGAGCATTTCAGGTCACATGACCAAGTTAGATGTCAATGGAGTGAAAAGTATAATTCTCTGGCAGGAAGGAGAGAAATATTGAGAATAATAGCCCACCTTATTATCTGCCAATAGTAACTATCAATAGAATTACTATGGAGAGGAAATGAGGTAGCAGATACTATAAAGGTTAAGTTTTAATTTATAATGTTAATTTGTACTCATTAAGGATAAAAAGGGTGGATGTTAACTAAACTTATTGTGGTAATAATTTTGCTATATATATATATCAAATCATTCTGTTATACATTTTAAATTTGTAGTATAATATATGTCAATTATATCTCAATAAAACTGGAAATCTTTTTAAAAGATTTATTTATTTTAGAGAGAGAGAGAGTGCATGCGAGTGGGGGGAGGGGCAGAAGGAGAGGGAGAAAATCCTTAAGCAGACTCCTCTCTAAGCCGAGAGCCTGAAGCAAGGCTCCATCTCAGGACTCTGAGATCATGACCTGAGTCAAAATCAAGAGTGGGCCGCTTAACTGACTGAGCTACCCAGGGGGCCCTGGAAAAAAATTTTAAGAAGGATAAAGACAGTGAGGGCTGCATTAGCTAAGATGTTTTATGTCCAAAGCAAAAGAAATCTAAAAGGATACCGTAGAAAAATCAACTCAAGATATTGAATTAAATTTGCATGTTTACTGCTAGAGGGAAGACTATCTCTGAAACATATGGAAATAACTCATGTATTTTGGATTTATCTGACTTCACCAATGTAAGTGTTTAGTCTTTGGACCTTTTTTCACTGCAGGACTGAGATTTACTAGAGTAGGTGTTGAGTCTAAAGAAGATCATACTCATTTGAAGACGGCATTCTTTATGAGCAATGAAGAGAGTAGTTTTTTACTTTTGATGAACTGTAGATGAATATCTATATTGCTGCATTTTCTACCATGGTGCAGAATTAAGCTGAATCCATGGGCTTGTTAAACACCGGGGTATAGTGAGAAGCATTAACTGGAGAGTTAGGACTTGATTCTCAGCTTTGCTAATAAGTGAGTTTGTGCATTGGCTAGTTCCCTACTGTCTTCAGTTTTCTCATTTGTAAAATAAAGGCAGTGGTGTTATTTGATTTCTAAAGTCTCACTTCTAGTCATAAAACTTGATAGTCATACCCCCCTCCATATATGTGGCAGGTGAGTCACCCATTCATGATTTGATGACAAGACAATCTCTGACAAAGTTCTTGGAATATGATGCCTGTGTTCTTCTGAATTGAAAGGAAGAAATATAGATGTGTTCAATACTTTTTCCTTTAGTCTTCTTTTCTACACATGCATTTTTAAATATCTCACCAGTTATTACAATTTTTCCTGTATTTATTTACCTTTTAATTTTGTATTTTTGGGTATGGTGGTTTAGAGTCACCATGTACAGTTGTGCAGACTGTGTACTGCACAAATCTATGACCACCGTTCACATTTTCAGTGCCTAATCTCTACGACATTTAATGACAGCTGTGGTGGCCAAGGTTTATTTATTATTTCAATATTATGTGTTATGTTTCTTGTACTGAATTCTTAATTTTTGAGTATTATTATATCAGGATGGTTCATATAAGGAAAGCATTAGCCTTACTGAATGTAAAATATTATTAATGCATTTTCCTCTCTTACTATTTCCTAACAAAATTATAATAATTGTGATTATCTTAGACTGTGTTTTTCAATACAGAATTTGGTTGAACTTTCTATCATTCAAATGTTTTTGAATTATTTAGTGTTGATAAAGTGGATGACGAAGATGATGAGGATTTAACAGTGAACAAAACCTGGGTCTTGGCACCAAAGATTCATGAAGGAGATATAACACAAATTCTCAACTCATTGCTTCAAGGCTATGATAATAAACTTCGCCCAGATATAGGAGGTAAGTTTGAGGTATCTGTTTGGGATTTTGGTGACTATGGAAACCTTATTTACTGATGTTATTTTAATCATATAGCTCATATTCCTTGGGTATCTGCTGTATGTCAGAGACTGCTAGGTTTGATAATTATTAGTTAAATTGGCACTGTTGAGAAATTCACAGTCTGACATGGGAAGAAAGGCATATAAATATTTTTGATGTAATTATTTTACAACTGCTACAATAAAGGGTACAATAGCAAAGTTTTGATAAAACTGCCTGAAAAGCTAAGAGGTATTTCATAAAAGAGAATATTTGAAAGGTAAGTAGGGTGCTAATTTTGTGCCAATGCAGCACTGTTTTAATTAATTATAAGCTGGTAATAGTGTTGGTAATCCTACTTTGTTTTTCTTAGTCATTTGCATTTATGTGTAAGTTTTATAATAATTAACTTCTAAGTCCCCCCCCAATGACTTATTAAAAACAAACAAAAATTATAAACCAGCCAGCATTTTCATTGGGATTGCATTAAATCTATGGTCACTGTGGGGAAATTGAAATCATTACCATACTGAATTTTTACTTTCCTAAATTCATGAGCATCATGTATTTCTTTATTTATATACGTATTTTTATTGTTTCCTATGAAGAAGTGTTGAATATATTTTACTAGATTTAATTCTATGTATTTGGAATTTTTGTTGCAAGTGTAAATAGATTTTTAAAAATTTATTTTCTAATTTTATATTAGCAGTATATAGAAAAAAGTTATTTTGCATATTTATTTTGTCCACAGGAGCCTTGTGAAATTTTAATTACTTACTGTTTTATTCTTCTAGATTCTCTACAAAGATAATGACTTACAAATAATGACTACATTGCAAATAGTATCTATTTGCAAATAATGAATATTTTACTTTATTTCCAAAATTATACTTTTTTCATGCCATGTTGCATTGGCTAAGACTAGAGTAAATTTTGGATAGTTTCGGTCTGTTCCTAATATCAGGGAGAGCAATTCATGTTTCACTATTAGGTATGATTGCTGTAGGCTTCTTTTTTTAAGACATTCTTTGTAAATCCTTTCTCTTCTCATTTTGCCAGAGTTCTTTTTTCGTCCTTAATATTTCAAATAATTTGTGTACATCTATTGAAATAATCATATCGATTAGTATATTGCCCTTTATTCTACTTACCATTTGTTCTATAAGTAACTGTCTGATTTTTAAACCTTAAACCAAATTTTCATATCTGGAATAAATGGCACTTAGTTGTGATATGGTAACTTTAAAAAAATCACTAGATTCAGTTTTATATTTTGTTTTGGAATTTTACATCTATGTTCATAAAGGACATTAGCCATTTATTTTACTTCCTGTAATGTCTCTTTCAGTTTTGGAACCAAGATCATGCTAAGGTCTACAAATGAGTTCTGTTTTCCCTCACTTTTCATCTTTGAAAGAGTTTATCTAAAATGGATGCTATTTCTTCCTTAAATATTTGGGAGAATTATTTGGTGAAGTCATGCTGGCCTAGAGTTTAATTTGGGGAAGAATTTTTTAACAATTCAATTACTTTAATAGTCAGTTTTAGTAAGCTGAACCTCTTACAGAATATAAATTTTCAAATTTACTAGTGTTAAATTGTTTCATAATAACTTTTGTGATATTTTTAATGTTTCTAGGATCTGAGTTTTTTTCCCCTCTTTCATTTCTGATATTAGTAATCTGTTCTTTTATTTATGAATCAATCTTGAAAGACTTTTTCAATTCTATTAGTATTGTCATAAAATCAAAATTTGGCTTTGTCAATTTTCTCCCTTGAAAAATTTTCTTCTTTACTTTTATTTAAGATTTATTTATTTGAGAGAGAGTGAGAGAAAGTGCGAGCGTATGTGCAGGGGGAGGGAAGGAAGGAGAGAGAGAGAGAATCCACAAACTGACTATGGAGTGTGGGAGCCCAGCAGGGAGGCTCAATCCCAAGACCCTGGGATAATGACCTGAGTGGAAACCAAGAATTGGCCGCTTAACCGACTGAGCGGCCTGGGGGCTCTGAAAATTTTTCTTAAATTTCATTGTTGTACAACATTTGGCTTATTATGTTAATCTAATTTCCTCATATGCAATTTGCTGTTTTCTCAGATTGCTTTAATTATTTAATTTTAAGGTAAAACTTAGACTTAATAAAATAGCATCCATACGTGGAATTTCCACAAACCCTTTAATAAACCGTAATGTTAACATTTTATATAACCATAGAAATCCTAACCTAAGTCAAGAAAACAATATCAAGAATACCATTAACTAATCTACAAACCTTATTTAGATTATGGCATGTGCCTCACTAATGTCTTTTCATTTGTTTCGGAACTACAACGAGGATCCCACAATGCATTTTGTTCTCATGTCTCTTTATTTTCCTCCAATCTGATATAATTTTTATTTTTCTGTATGTTTCATAAACTTGATAACCTTAAAGAGTACTGGCCAGTGGAATGTCTGTCAGTTTGTCTGATATTTTCATTATTCCACTGAGTTGATACATTTTTGCTAAGGATAACACGGAAGTGATGTTGTGCCCTTTCAGTGTGTTCTATTAGGAGGTACAAGATGTTAGTATATCCTATTGCTGGTGATATTAATTTTAACACTTGGTTTAGTGTGGTTTCTTCTAGGTTTCTCCACTGTAAAGTTATTATTTTTCCCCTTCTAGATTAATACATATGTTGTGAGGAGGTACTGTCAGGAGGATAGTCAACTATGTAAAAATGTCTCAGCACATGTTTGTCCATTAAGCTAGTATCCTTCAATGATTCTTATCTGTAACAGTATTTATTACTGTTCTGTGTGCCAAATGGTGACTCATTATTATCATCACTCCTTCTATGCATATTATTTGTAATTCTACTATAAGGAAGAGCTGAGGCTAATCCTCCATTTATTTATCTATTCATTTATACTCAGTGTAGACTTATACATATGTTTTATTTTATAGCTTATAACCCATTATTATCATTATTTTGTTGCTCAAAATAAATTTGGCACTGGGACTTCCTATAGTTTGGCTTCTGTGTCCTTTCATACATCACCATCATTTTCTGATCACATCCTTACTTTTTAGTACATAAGATATTCCTGGCTCATCTTGATCCAAGCAATAAAATTCACCATTTCTCCAAGGTATTTAGAAATCAAGATCAGGGCAGTAGATATATTCATTAATATTGGGTGTTATTGCTTCTGAACCATTTCAGTGAGCAGAAGTAGAAAATATATGTTCTACAAACACATTCACGGGCACCTATATTTCTATATCTGCCCCTTTTTACATGTATTATAAACCGTGAGTTCATACTGACAGTTCTGCTTCCGAACGAAACACCATGGGGTTCGTTCTAGTGTTTCCTCTTTCCTTATTTGTAATTCCCTTTTCCAACAGTGAGACACCTGGCTCTGATTTATCCACAGTATATTTTCTTATTTTTTCAATTCCAGTAAATACAAAATACAGTTCTAAAATTTTAACATGTCATTTGTCTATGAAAACAAATTAACTAGAATAAAATACTCAAGTACAATTATTTTCATCTTTAGCTTTACAGAATGTAATTAAAATATTGTTCAACAAAGTTAACTTAGGTTCTTATCTTTCCTATTCCCTTCAATGGTTATTTTATTCATTTCTAATATAGTTTGACTCAAGTGTTACTGGCTATATTTCACTTTGAGTGGAATTCATTGATGTCTACTTTTAGTACTTGCATGGTTTTATTTGTTTATATTTAATTCCCTAGTCCATTAGGAGTTACTGTATGGTACAAAGTATGAATCTAATTTGTCTCTTTACTGAATGGCTTTTCTGTTGGCTAAACATCATTTATGAAAGAAATCAATCTTTGCTTCTGTTATTTGAGACACCCACTTTCTCATATTTTACATTTTCTTATGAACTTTGGTTATTTCTGATCTTTCTGTTCCATTCCCTCATCTGTTTTTCTATGTGTCACTACATTATAGTAATAGTAGAGATTCAACAGTATATTGAGGCTAAAACATTTTGTATTAATGTCTTATAAGGCTAGTTCCATGTCATATTTTCATTTGTTTCGTTTTTCCTTTCAGTTTTTCTGGCTTCTTTTTTTTTTTTTTTGAGAGGGAGAGTGGGGGTGGGAGGGGAGAGAGAGGGAGAGAGAGAATCTTAAGCAGGCTCTGAGATCATCACCTGAGCCAGAGTCAAGAGTTGGTTGCTTAACTGACTGGGCCACCCAGGTCCCCTATTTTTGCATTTTTTAACAATAATAAATTTAGCTCTCTAAAAAAAAAAAACCTCATAATACTTGTTTGTTTATTGGGATTGTGTTAAATTTGTAAATTAACTTTGAGAGAACTAACATCTTCATAACACTGAGTCATCTAATATGGGAACATGGGCTGTCTTTGCAATACTTCATATTTATTTTGCATCTTTCAGGAATATTTTAAAGATTTACTCATACAGATTTTTCACATTTAAAAAATTGAGTCCTAAGTATTTAATCTTTTCCCTGATGTGAAGGGTAGTTTCTCAACTATAATGTCCTCTACTGGTTATTAGTTTTGTGTATCAATGTTATTGATTTATGAATGCTTATTTTATATCCTACTACCCTCATGCTGCTTTACTGACTTTTTTATGGTTTAAGCATTATCTGACTTTTCAAAATATGCTATCATATCGTATATAAAGATAATTTTATTTTTTCTTTACCAATTCATATGCAACTAATTGATGTCTTTTATCTAATAGCATTTACTCATATCTCTAGTATAATATTGAGTAATAGTGGAGATTGTAGGTAACTTGGCCTTTTTCTAGATCTTAGTGGAAATGACTAATGTTTTGTCCTACAAAGATTTACATTAAGAAATTATCCCTCAACTTTCTTGATTTTGTTTTTATATTTTATATTTTTATTTATTTATTTTTTGAATAAAATCTTTTTTTAAAGATTTTATTTATTTATTTGTGAGAGAGAGAGAGAG